CTGTGCTTTACTCTTAACCATTTTAATGGTAACAGGAGCTAAGGATGTAGAGATCCCAATTCTGTGATATGTGCCCCATGGACCTAAGTAGGAACCTCAACTATGCAACAGAACTAGAGCCAGTACAGAAAGAGATTCAGAAATTGGTTTGGGAACCCCTTTCAACCAAGTCCTAGAAAACACGTTAAAACCCAGTTGATGGGGTGAAAAAGCTTCTTGAAATATATTTCTGTTAACGCCTGCGATTCCGACGGCACATTCTGGCCTATTTTTCTTGCCTTGTCTAGAGTGAATTGTTCCAGACCAGTCACTTCTGCTCCTGTCACCAGAACCGGCCACCGCACAGTGAGACGGCCCATCCCACGGCGCGTGGCGACCCTGCTGAGCCCCCGCAGCCCTGGGGGCCAGGGCAGCTTTCGCACTGGACTAAGTTTCCCCCACAGCCCAAGTCACCTCTGTTGAATTCAACAGGCATTTTTGTAGAAGAAAATCCATTCTCATCCCTAATCGCTTAAAACGTTTCATTCCCATTTTTCTCGGAGGGACCGAAACCAGGTAATTCCGAATCAGAGGGTGAAACCCTGAGGAGGAGAACGTTTTCTCGAAGGGGAATCTCACTGTTTTCCCAGTGGGGTCATTGTCTTCTACTCCGTCAGAGGCCTTTGCACTCTGTCAGCAAACCAGGGAGCGGGTCCTCTGAGCACCCTAAAGGTCTGTGGTGACCGTCGGGGTGCAAAGGGCAGTGGGAGCTGCTGTTTGAATCGGGTGAAGGCCTGTTTGACACTTCACTCTTGGACACTTGCTGATTTTCTTGGCCACTGGTTTCTGTTTCCTGGTTACTGGGGAAACAAAAGTATTTTTCTCTGAATCTATATCTGCCCTCTAATTATCCAGAGCTATAATGTTGATTTAGTTTTCGACAGAAGAATCATAAAACTGATCAGAGAGGGGTTATTTTGTTTTTTTACATTTTTTAAAAAACTTATCTTACCTCTCCAAACAGGACATACAAATGGCCAAGAGACATATGAAAAATGCTCAACATCTCTAATCATCAGAGAGATGCAGATTAAAACAACAATGAGGTATCACCTCACACCTGTCCGAATGGCCGCCATCAACAAATCATCAAACAACAACTGCTGGCGAGGGTGTGGAGAAAAGGGGACTCTAGTACACTGCTGGTGGGAATGCAGATTGGTGCAGCCACTATGGAAAACATTATGGTGTTACCTCAAAAATTAAAAATTGAACTGCCATTTGACCCAGTGATCCTGCTTCTAGAAATATATCCTAAGAAGCCTGAAACACCAATCAGAAAGAATATATGTACCCCCATGTTCATAGCAGCACTATTTACAATAGCTAACATCTGGAAACAGCCCAAGTGTCCATCAGTAGAAGAATGGATAAAAAAGCAGTGGTACATGTACACAATGGAGTACTATGCAGCTGTAAGAGATCTCTCATCCTTTGAGACGACATGGAGGGACCTGGAAAGTATTATCCTAAGCCAAACAAGCCAAACAGAGAAAGACAAATACCACATGATCTCACTTATATACGGAATATAATGAACATAACAGTCTGAGGAATAAGGTAGTCCCAGAAACATGGAAGTAGGGCACAGACTGACATCCATCAGAAGAAGGGGTGAAGGGGGTGGGAAGAGATAAACCACAGAACTTATATGCATGTATGCATGACCAATGGACATGGACAACAAAGCTGGGGACGGGATGGGTGTGGGGTGGGGACGGGGGTGCTAATGGGGTAAAAAAGGAGAAACATCTGTAACAAAAAAATAAATCAATTTATTAAATTAAAAAAAAGAAAAAAGAAAATAAAAACTTATCTTTATTATTATTATTTTTTTATTTTATTTTATGTTTATCCTCACCCGAGGCCTTTTTCTTTTTTTGATATTTTGTTCAGATAAAGTGGGAGGGAGGGAGAGAGAGAGAGAGAGAAACATAGACGTGAAAGGGACACATCGAGTGGTTCCCACCCACACGACCCGACCAGGGCTGGGGACAAACTGCAACCGAGGTACATGCCCTTAGCGGGAACCGAACCCGGGTCTCTCCAGACCGAAGGCCGGTGCTCTAACCGCTGAGCCAAACCGGCCAGGGTGAGAGGGGTTCTTTTAAAGACAGGAACCCAAAGGTCCCAGGAGGCCTAAAGGTGGACTCATCGGGTCAGACCAGCCCCTGGTCCAGGAGCCTGCTGGCTCCCTGGGCCCTGGTCACGGTGTTGCTTGTTCTGCTGGGCCAGGCACCTGCCTCCGGAACCTCACCTACATCTGTGTGTCATGACGAGATTAGTGCCTGTTCGGATTCTGAGTCTTAAGTGATTAGGGACTGACCTCTCTGTGGGAGGGGCCACACTCTGCAGGTGTCTGTGCAGGACTCCGGTGGATTCAGGGAGCCGCTGGTGGGGCTGGAAGGCCTCAGAGGTGTGGGCATTTGCACCTGCCTCAGAATATCAGAGAAAAAGGTCAGAGGTCAGGGAGTCAGGATGGGAAATGTGTCAAGGAGAGGTGCCCCCAAAGCTCAGGTGAATCAGCTTATTGACGGCTAACTCTGAGCTAAAGGGTGAAATCTGTAAAATGCAGTTTATTCTACAACGCTCATTAGCAATACCGCATGCCAAGCGCTGGACGAGGCTGGGGCACATCAGCGAACAGAAAGCAAGAACTTACACTTCGGTGTGCACAGACACTCAACCAACTCAACATTCGACTCACTCAACTGGCCTCCCCACCTCCAGGGTCCCCTTCTCCCCCTAGGCATGTCCCTGCACTGCCCAGACTCTGGCTTCCCCCATGTTCCCCCAAGTCCCTGTCTCTCGCCTTTAAGTACCTAATCTATTGACTCATCACTCACAGACTCTGTTACCTTTTTTCAAAGGCATTTTCTTAAAAAAAAAAAAGGGCAAAGAAAACAAACAAACAAAATGAGAACAGACTCATAGAAACGAAGACCAAAGGGATAGTTGCCAGAGGGGTGAGGTGATGAAGGGATGAGTAAAAGCAGTGAAGAAAAATTTAGTCAATAATATTGTGATAAGTTTACACGGTGACAGATGATTAACTAGAATTAGTGGGGTGATCACATCATAAGGTATCAAAATGTCGAATCACTGAATTGTCCACATGGAACTAATATAGCTAATATAATATTGTTTACCAACCATACTTGAATAAAACATATTAATTTTTTAAAAAGAGGGCCCAGAGAACAGAGCCTTGCCCCAAAGAGTCAGACCTCTGATGGCAGAATTTCTGTCAAAGGGACAAAATGGTAAAAAAATATATTTTTAATAGTGACATTATTTTAGTATTTCCTTCCATGTCTAGTGACATTATCTGAATATTCAGTTAATTTCATAACAATCATATAGTGTAGTTAATAATATTTAGATGAGGATACGAAATTCCAAAAGTCCCAGTGTTTTACACAAGGTCGCACGGCCAGGACACAACTAAAGTGAAACACGCGAGCAGGTCTCCGGCTCCAGAGCAGGGGTCTCTCCATCACACACCAGTGCCTCCCTGGCCACTCCTTTGTGCAGGCTGCAGGCCATCAGCTGGCTTGAATTAGGGGTGGAGACAGACTCCAGTGGGACAGCCATATTTATGGGACTTTCCATAACTCAAACGAGTACCTTGGGAACTACTTTTAGCTTTCCTAGGTGATCTACCAAAAATATTTCCCCTTCTAGTTTTCTCTGAATCTGGCTAACTTTAGTCCCTTCTAAAGTGTCGAGGCATTGTGGGGGAGGGGATAGTGGATTATGGAATCACACCAATGTTCCCAGAGTCCTTGGGAATTGCTTAGGGAGTTTCTCCCCCTCCCATGAACACAGGGATCAGCCTTGGTTGTGAAGAACTTCTGCTGGTGGTGAGGCAGCATAGGAGAAACATGGCCCATCTGGTGGCCTTGGCCCAGCTCTAGCCATAAAAAGGGATTTCATATCATTAATGACTTCCCTTTCACAGTTTGTTAGCATGAAATGTCTTGGCAGTGAAATGACAATGGGGACTCCCTCCTCACCAGTGATTTTGCCCAGAGAGACAGAAAACACCCCATCCCAAGAGCAGCCATGGTGCAGCTGCATTTGCTGTTTTCTTTTGTGGCTCTGACTCAATAGCAAGTTGAGATGCTGGAAAATGCTTGTAGCTGCGGTCAGCTGGCAACCAGATGGCAGGTTGGAATTAACGTTACATGCAGGTTTGGTGGAGAAACTAGTTGTGTCTGGGTGCCTAGCTTTGTCCACATAGCTAGAAGGCTCTCTACCAGGGCTGCACTGGGGTGAGCTGAGGTGCCCCAGTGAAGTATGTGTGGGGTATGTACACACACACACACACGTACATGCGTGCATATGTACATACAAATATACTAAATATGTATTTTATATATGTGTGTATATATATACGTGTGTGTGTGTGTATCTATATATATATACCTTTTACCCCCCTCAATATTTGCTGTTTATCTCCCAAAGAGGATGGAAAATGTAGTTATCTGAGCCCCAGAGCAAGTTGCATTTGAGGTCAGGATATGAAGTTCAAGTGTTTTCTAGGAGAATTGAGTATTATCACAAATTAGGGCCAGAGTTGAAAATAATAGTTCCCAAGGTCCTTTGAAAGGTGTCTTCCTTTAAAAGACAAAAACAGTGAGTGACTAATCAAGTCTCTCTATTGATACCTAAGGTGACATCATGGCTCATGCTGTGTGTGTGAAAATTCAGGCACTGACTTACACTAAGGTTTGCTTTCCTTCTGCTTTGGGCCTATGGCTTTAATTACCAGCAACAGGCAAAGTTCACAGCAGCTCACCTCTGCCTACTCACCATGTAGAAATTGTAGGATAGACGTGCGGGTGGTTTGGTGTGGACTTTTGACTCTGCCCTTTGCCTAAAGTAGTGCAGCAAGTGTCTTCTCAGAGGCTCCCAGGGACCCCCGCATCCTGGCATTCACACACTTGGGTAATTCCCTCCCCGTGGTTGTGTGCTGAATTTTTTGCAAGCCCTGATTACGCAGAGACGTTAATCACGTATCATGTGATCTCCAGTCATCATATTCTACATCTGCCCTCCCGAAGGAGGAACAGGTAAGGATTATCCTACCTGACGATATTGTGCTGAATTTTTTAACTTGCACCTAAGAAATACAGAAAGGTGATGGGATGTCATTTCAGGGATCGGATCATAAAAAGATGTGGCTTCCAGCTTGCATGCACACTCTTTCTCTCATTCTCTCCGCCCGCCCTCTGTTCTCTCTCTGATCACTCTCTCTGTGGGAGTCAGGCTGGTGGAGAAGCACAGAGCCTGCCAGCAACTAGGTGGGTGACCATGGAAGCAGACTCCCTGCTCTTTTGGTCCCCTCTCTGGCATTCTGATGAGAGTGCAGCCCTGGCCAACAGCTGGCCTACAACCTCACAGAGACCTTGACCCAGAGATCAACAGAAACTGTGAGACAATGGTTATTGTTTGAAGACACTATATTTGTTAAGCAGCAATAGATGACCAATAAGGCAGCAATGAGAGACAAGGAGATTGTGCCATTAGCCACTGAGTGGATCAGCCATGTGGTACAGGACTCAGTGGCTGGCACACTCAGGTTCTCAATGAATCCTGATTTTAAGGGGGAGTTTTTCTGAACTCAAGTAGTGGAATCACCATCTATGACTCACTGTGCATACAGGGATCACATCAGACACATTTCTACCACGAGCTAGAATGGTTTCAAGAGAGGCTTATCCAGGGTGCTTTGAAGATACAGAGGCCAGGGCTCCACCACAGACTAAAATAGGATCTCTTGGGTGGGACCTGGATCTGTATGGTTAGAAAATCATCCTGGTAATTTTGCTGCTCAGTTCAATTTGGAAATTGTTGGGATAAAACACCTTTCCAGGTCATGTTTTGTATCGGCTCTCCCTGGTTCTCCGCATTAAGGAAGTTCCAACCTGGTGCAGGTGATGCCCCGCAGTGAGTGAGCACACGTCAGGGCTCTACATGGGGGTGTCAGCAACTTGTAGGACACAGAAGGTTGAGCAATACCACAGAGCTTACCAGTCTAATCAAAGTAGTAATGAACTTTGGCATAATTTCACTAATGGCTTTTTCCAAACAACTCGAACACCAACGATGTGTCGATCAAGCTAACCGTTTTCAGAGACACTGTGGTATGGGGAAGGAGACACTGGGATTAGAGTTAAAAGAACTGGGTTTTAGTGCTGGCTTCTCTGCTCGGCAGCTGTGTGACCTTGGGCAAGTTAATCTCTCTGATCATACTTCTTTTGCATTGTAATCTATTTTTAGGAACTTTGCTGTGTGTGTGTGTGTGTTTTTAAATAAATATAAAAATAATATATCCTCCTTCTAAAAATATGGAGCATACAGAAAAGTATTTTTAAAATCCAAAATTCATAATTCAGAAACCTCTGATAACTATAGTTCTATGTCTTCCAGTTTCATTTAAATGAATTTATATGTTTTTACATTACTATGATTATGCTATTTATAAGTGTTTTATCCTGCTTTTACAATTAGCATTATAGTCTGAACATTATCTCATGTCATTAATAGCTTTTCAAAACTATCACTTCTAGGGCTCCATAATGTTCCATTGTGTAGGTGTATCATAACTATTTTCTATGGTTCCTATTTAAATAGTTAGGATATTTGAAAGTTTTTACTTTTATAAAGAACACTGTGAGGAACATCTTTATATACAAATATGTCCACATTTTCTATTACTTCATTAAAAAGAAATGTCAGAAATGAAATTACTGTAGCCAAAAGTATAAATACTTTGTAAATTCCTGATACATGTTGCAAATTGCTCTACAGAAAGTCTTAACCAACTGTACCTCTACCAGCAGAAAGAGAATTTCCAACTCAAAGTAACTTTGCCAGCATAAGACATTATCTGTTTTTTAAAATAGTGTTAATTTGATGTTCTACTTATCTTTGTTTGATAGTCAAAATATGATTTCTTGTTTAATGTATGCTTCTTATATTGCTAGGAAGATCAAACAGTTTTCCTACATTTACCACTGAGACTTTCTTCATTGGTAAAATGGAAAATAATCTGTACTCATATCATAGGGTTACTGGGAAACTTTACAAAGTGATGATTGTGAATACTTTTTATAAATGCATTAATATGGCATGTTTAAATAAGTCCCATGGTCTTAATTTAGTTGATAGCGATTTTATATGTAGGCAAGTTCATCTATCATAATGCTGTGGGATTGAAGGCAAATCCCCAAGTCTTCCTTCCTCCCATACATCTCCACGTCATGTTACAGAGTTTAGTAGCGTTGGCAGCTGTGGTGAAGAATACCCATAAACAGCAAATGGACCCAGGCAGCCTGCATAGCTAGCTCCATATTACCACTCTTGGTAAAGGTAGGCGTTGGGGGTGAAGTGAGTTGGTTGATTGGTTGGTTGTATATATTTGTTTGGGGGTCCAGCTCTTTAAAAGCAGCTCTTCACAGCCACTTCCTCCTCCTTTGCCAGCCACCTCCCCAGGTCACCGCTCAAATGTGGTCGCAGGAACAGTTGGCTCTTTCGTAGCCAAGGCTAAGTAAGACATTGCCCTTTTCGACATGTCCTAGGTACTGGTCTGTAGGAAGTGGTTGATTTCAACGCGCATAACGATGGCTAGCGCCAAGAGAAAGCTACAGTCCAGAATTTTTATATTAAACGAATCACATATATTATTGCTTATTCAACTTGATTATCTCACTGATTTGAAAAAGAAAATTGAGAAATAAAAACCATTTTTATAAAGGCCTAAAAACACTGAGGATTTTTCTACAAATTCAACATAAAGCATCCAAGCCCTGGCTGGTGTGGCTCAGTTGGCTGAGCATCAACCCATGCACCAAGAGATCACTGGTTCAATTCCTGGTCAGGGCACATGCCTGGGTTGTAGGCTTGATCCCTAGTAAGGGTATGCAGGATGAAGCCGATCAATGTGCCTCTCTCTCTCTCCCTCACCCTTTCTCTCTCTCTCAAATCAATAAAAACATATTATAAAACAAAACATAAAATATCCAAGATATTAAATCATATGTGAGTTTCAGGGCAGAAATATGTGGATTTAGAATGTGGTCAGTGTTCAGCCAGACTGTAACTTGGCTATCAGAGGCCTGGAATTTGGCCTTCCTCTTTTCCAAGAACTCTGTCCCCTATGCTTGGAGACCACAAGTTCTGGAGTAGAAGCTGTAAAGGTAGAATCTGTTCTTTCTTATTTATAATTTTAAAAAAATTGAAAAGGGTGTTTGGGGACCGCTTGTACCCATGCCTATAAATCCACAGTAAGGAATTTTTGCCTTCGTAGCTCTAAGCAGACTATTCCTTTCTCTCAAAATTTATGGAAGAACTTTAAAGGCATTTTGTGTACATAGTTACACAGTCTGTGCTCTAATTCAATGGGACTCTTGGCTGAGTATGGACTACAAAGTTAGACATTTGAAGTTCGATTTTCTTTGATCTACCTTTCCCAGATATGACTTCATTTCATTTATACAAACTCACAGTGTCTCTATAAACTTGGTTTTGTCATCATATTCTGGATTCTCCTACAGTGGAGAGTGGTGTGGGAGAGGAAGATCAGTCTCCGGCCTCTGCAGGCACAGAGCTGCCATTTTGCCCAGGAGGCTAGTCACAAGCATCGTTCTGACGACCAGAATGGTACCTGCAGCCCCTAGAAGTGAGGCGTGTGCGAGGCCCAGCAGGCATTCGCTAGGGAGGCCGGCATCGATCCGCCCACCCACCGTCCGCGCTTGTAGAATTAGAGAAGCTTGGACCGGGGTGATGCCAGGCTTACCACAGAGCAGTTCCTTCAGCTCGTGGCCGGTCTGGAATGACCACGGCCACTGGAAACCGAGAGCATGACCAGATGAAACACAATGGAGAAAAAATCCTTAAGGAATTCACCGGTTTGGAGACAGCCAATCCTGATCTTCATGCTGCTCTACGGCAACACCAAATTCCTTGGAGCAGGACCCGTCGAGGTCTGTGTGACTACCCCGCCTCCTTCTTGCTGCAGGTTTTCTGGCCAGTGCAGAGCTTTCTCCCGCCTGGTTGTTGGACACACTACTACTGCATAAATCAGAGTAACGAATGCTCAAGAGAGGTTACTAAAGGCCAGACACTGGGCGAAGTACAGTCTCATTTAATCACAATGCCTCTGTGAGGGAGGTGTACTCATTACCCCACTTTATAGCCCAGGAGACTGGGTCTGAAAGGTTAAATAACTTATGTGGGGCTTTTAAAAAATTATAATAATGCTTTTCCTCCCACCTTCAAATTTCTTCAGGCTGGGCTAAAGTCAAATAAACAGAGACAGGGGGGAAAAAAATCAAATGTTAATAGATGTGCACGAGGAATTCACATAAGCATGAAAAGTCTAAACACAGTGAAGCAATATTAGGTATATGTGACATTTCGGACAAGGGAGAGAAGTGGGGAATGGGGTATTAGATTTGCAGGTAGTGGAGAGAGAGGGGAACACTCGGGGCAGGCGGGGTAGGCGACTCAGGGACACGGGACACAGAGGGTATCTTGCTAACAGGCACCTACCTGCCCGAAGCCCTCCTGTTTACCACACTTAATATAAACCAGGCTACGGCGGCACCCTAAGGGCAAGAAGAAAAAGGGTTAAAGGTTCTCTCCGAGTTTTTTTTTTTTTTTCAGGATTAACAGCTTTAAATCAATATTCCAAAGAGGCAGCATCAGAATGGCAAAACTTCGGTTCTTTTCACTTGTCAGGCACTTGCGAGGAACAGCTGGAGTTTAAACACAGGCAGTCAGATCCCAGAGTCCCTGCTCCTCATGACCATGATGACAGCAAGTAGTACTGTTGTTAGTCAGTTATTAATAGGAAGAGAGCAAGGGAAGTCAGACATGGTTGCGCTTAATAAAACTGGGGAACATTTGCCTGTTTGCTTCACCGGGAAGCTACAGCTTCACACTCCAGGGGATCATAGCATTGTCCCTCCAAGAGGATTAACACCCCTCTCTTCCCCCTCTAGTACCAGATTGTGTGTGGGGTGGGGAGCAGGGGGAGAGAAGGACATGTGCAATGGAGTAAAAATGGCACAGGGGTAGGTGCTTGACCCT